TGTATAATTTTGATGGGGATGATGTTTTTATTTTGCAGATTTGCATCTGATCATCCATTCGCAATACAAGTCAGGGGTTCAGAGTTCTATTAGAGGCTCATAGCTCAATCATCTATCAAGTCGAGAAAGTTGTTAATTAAATCAGTCGCTATAAGCATGTAGGCCAATCATCTACATGGCCTGATCTGTATATATTTTGTTGCAAGCTCCATGGCGTGTTTTTGACACCAAATTTGCCTAGCACATATTTTCTGTTGTTAAAAGAGTTAAGAGGACGAGGCCAAATCGAACCATCATTTAGCTACACATTTTTTAAGAGCAATCCAGGAAACTATATTTGTTAAGTGAAGCCAACACTCTGCTGAAGAAAACAAAAAGATTATATTGATTGAGGATGATCATGTTCACATTTGAGCAAAGATCATTTGTAGTATTATGTGGCTGCCAACCATTTCAAACACTCCAGGGAGCATTGTCGATGTAAAATTCTACATTACATATTTCCTTTCTTTTTTTCTTAATGGATAATCAAGTAGGTTGTCATTGTCATTTGCTATAGTGATAGCCTAATAGGCTCTTATTGTGATGTGCAGTTTCACATGTCCGCGTGTGCACATATTTACGTATATATGTATGTAAGATATATGTTAAAAAAGAGTAATATTATTTGTATGCTGTGTTTACCTATCAGAATCTATGGAAGTAAAGTACCTGCTACATTTTCCTATAAATTTGGAGTAGTGATATTTGTATGTATTGCACTACAATCTATGCTTACCTATTAGCAGTCTGTAGAATTATTGTAACTGCCACACTTTCCTATCAATTTAGCGTAATGATATTTGTAGGGATTGCACTGGAAACAACCATCTATTTGGCAATGCGATATCTGACATATTCTCCTATAAAATTGAGTTGTTTTAATTTATTGAAGTATGTGGTAGTGACAATTGCTACGTCAAATGTTGATCATCGGTACTGCTGGCATAATTTTAGCATGCATTTTAATTTATTGAAGAATGTTGCAATAACCACTGTCACGTGGACAGTTGATGGATAAGTATTGATTACAAAGAGCATTATGCCTTAAAAATGGAAATTTACTCGGCAATATGAAGCCAAGTGTACAAATAGGAGACCTTGCTAAAAAAAATTCATTCTAACAATATGATTCCCTATGATAGACCACATGAAAAATCAAATTTGAGGAACATTCTAGGAATATCCACGAGCAAATAGAACATGGTCACAATCAAATTCTCAAGCATTTTTTTCCCAACTTAACTTATCGAAGAAAGACCATGTTAAAAATGGCACTCCAAAAACCCATTGAGTCACCATCATCCACCCAAAGATGAGAAATCCAAACATTAGGCCCAAATCTTCATC